AAAGGGAGGGAAGACAGTGAGGCTGCGTCCAGGGAGACAGTGAGGCTGGGTCCATGGAGACAGTGAGGCTGGGTCCATGGAGGCAGAGGTGGGGGGGGGGGGGGCTCATAATTTTGTGGTAGGGAAGGTTGTTCCAGCTCTGGCCAGGCCTGGCTCTACTGAGCGGCTGTTCTGTAGGCACCTGTGCCAGTTCAGTCCCTTACTTCCTGTTCCCTGGAGATGGCTGGAGAGGTGAGAGCCCCAACCTCACTCCTGATATGCTGTTTCTGCCAGGGGCCATGGTCAAAAGCAAAGACGGGACGTGCAGAAGGGCAGAAGTGACTTGGATGGGAAAACCTGGCATGCTCCCCTTTAGCTGTTATGAGTGCTGCTGGCGCTAGCCTTGCACAATTTATGCTTAGACTGGAGTGGGTCTGACACACCCCACCCCACCCAGGTCTCAGCAGATATCGGGACTGGCAATTGGTAATAGATCTTTGCCCTAGGATGGTGTCTCTACTATTTTTCTGAGCTGGGAGGGGGTGAGGACAGGCAACAAAGCTAAGCAACCTTTTTCTTCTTGCCTCCAGGACCTGCACACAAACAGTCCCAGATACAGCAAGGGTTCCTACAATGACTTGAGCTTTGTAACACATGCCAACAAGGAGGGCATTCCCATGCGCAAGGGCGAGCACCTGGGTGAATTCAACTTGGGCTCTACTATTGTGCTCATCTTTGAGGCCCCTAAGGACTTCAACTTCAGGCTGAAGGCAGGGCAAAAGATCCGCTTTGGGGAAGCGCTGGGCTCTCTCTAGTCGTCTTGGTTGTGGCTGCCAAGGGATCTTTCCACGCAGAAGCATGAGAGTCTTCAGAGACACTCCTGACTGTCCTGGTGAGAGGACTGTGGGACTGGCCAAGTAGGACCTGAATGATTTGTTCCCGCCTGCCCAGAGGTGCAGAGAGAGGTTTTGGATTTGTCAGGACCTAGTGGGTATGATTTGACCCTACATCTCCTGGCTGAGCATTGTGAGAACAGTTATGCACTACCACACCCTCTAGTTGCTCTCCCCAGCTGTCTCAGGGCCTTTTTCTGTCAGCCCTTCTGTTCTTTCTGCCTTAGCATCTCTGTCTCCCCTCACTGTGCACAGGACGAGGTGCTTCCTTGGCACAGACCTCTTAGAGGAGGCCCCATGGCCTTCACAACTGCTTTCTGTTCCCAGTTCAACCCTCTGCTTGCTGGAAAAGTAAAATCATTTATGTTGTTGAATGTGTTGACCTAGATTCTGCCAGTGTCTTCTGAGGTCTGACCTTCCAAGGCTGGCTGAGCCCTTTTTGCTAGGGCAAGACCAATCACTGACTTGCCTGGTAGTGTCCGGAGTGGAGGCCCAGCCCTGCAGGAAGTGTAGGAGACATGCTGCTATTGGTCTAGGGGCTGTGTTGGAGGCAGAGGGTGTGGTGGTCAGTACTTAGAAAACCTGTTCCAAGTGACTGCGGGTATTCAGGCCATTAGGATCCCAGTAATAGGGACAAGGCCAGATTTCATGTTGATCTTGGGGATGCCATGGATTTCTCCTGCAGGAGAAATTATTGAACTTTGATTTCAACTGTATCAGTAGTACAGTATTTTGTATGAAAAGTAGGAGTCTTCTGAACAGTAATTCATTTCATTGCAAGACATTTTGAAATAAAAAAGACAAAACACCATTGTAACTTTGTATTGTTATTGGGGGAGGTGTCTGTGACCTTGTGAAGGATAGCACCTGTCCCCCAGGGGCAAGCCCACTAGAACAGAGCCTGTTTCAGGGCCTGAACACGAGCAATGCATGTACCAATGGGCTGACGCTGGGCCTGGAGCTCCTCAGACAGCTGCTGGATCTGTAGTTCCACCTGGGGGCAGAGGAGGGATAAGGCAAGCTGACCAGAAGCACAGCCTGGGGGCTGGCCCTGGTGCTGACCTGGATCTTACCTCCTCCAGTTCTTTTTTTACCCGCTGTTCTAGATCCCAGTCCTCGGGCCTGGGCTCCTCCTGGCTTAGCTCCAGCCACCTGCGTAGGCTGTTGGCTTGACGCTGGCATGACCTGGGAATGGGGACACCTGCTGCCCATGAGGCTGGATTCTTGGCATAGCCTCAAAGGAGCCCTTTCTGGACTGAAGAGGCGTACTGGCTAATATTGAAGGGCTGGGGTGGACACAGTGTGGAAGCTATGTCTCAAGCTGCAGGCAATGGCCAGGGAGAGCAATACTCTTCTGTCTTTCCAAGCAAACAGCAACATGGGTGGGCCCATGTGAAAACTACTCTTCCTATCCTTTTCTAGGGGAACAGACTTTTCTACTCATTTCTCTGGAAGTTGCTGTGTGTTAACAGTCCCCAATACTGGGTGTAGTTAAGACAACCCAGGCTTATGCTGTCTGTACCTTGTCAATATTACAGTCACAGCTGCTTGGCTTTACATTCCCTCCAAATGGAAAGCAGGGCTTCCAACCCTAAGTGAGGCAAACTTGGCCCTTCCTAGACAGGATAAAGGTGCCACAGGACACTCGCCCCAACCCCCTGGAGTAAATCAGAACACACAGAGGGGTCCCAGCACTTGCTGGGGGAAGTGGAACCCCTGTCTTTCCAAGCCACAGCTATTTCTCGTGGACAGGTCCCAGGGCAGCTGGTGGGCCTCACCGAAGGTTCTGCTTGGTGGTCTGGTAGTGCTGTAACTGCTGCTGGATCCCCTCCAGCTCAGCCTCAAGCTTTGTGTGGCCTGCAGCAACTGGAAGGTAAGTTTGATCTTGCCTGCCATCCCCTTCAGAACCAACCACCAAGGAGACTGGAGGGGCTTTGGTGCCTTGACCTACTCACCTGTAGCCTCGTAGCCATAATCAGGCCCAATCCTGGTGCTTGTGAAATCCCCAGGGAGGAAGAGACTGGGCTTAGGCCCCTTGGTTAGGGATGGGCATGCCAGAGGCTGAGGTCCAGGGATGGTGTGTTTTGCTGACCCCTGTAGATGAAGAAAGGATGGATGCTGAGCAGCAAAGCTAGTGGGGACCCTGGGAAGTGAATCCTGTCCCCAGCTCATTGGCCAGCACATACAAAGCTTTGCTCTCTGCCTGTTTTAGAAGGTGATACACTGGGAAGTCCCACAGGCAATCTCCACGACTGAGTGCCACCCCTGTGTAACGGGACTTTTAGGGCTGCCCCAGGAATAGGCTGCTCTTCCCCAGCCTTTCACCCTATTACGCTCAGCTAGCAAGTGAAGCTCAACCTCGGCAGGAGGGTATTGTGCGGCAGCTCTCCCTACCCAACACTCGTGCGCTCCAAGTCTTCTCTTTTTCAAGGAATGGGCATGCCACTATTTTTTAAGTTTTTGCTTGTTTACCTGTTTACTGCGACAGAGTCTTGCTGTATAGCCTAGGCTGACTTTGAGCTCTCTGTCCTCCTGCCTCTACCTCCTAAGGGCTGGGATTAAGTGTGGGTCACTTCTGTTACCGGCCATTCATCACTAGAAACTGCCTCCTTCCTGCGTCCACTCCTCCCCAGTCAGCACCAACTTCCTAGGAGCTGGCTCAGTACTGCCACCTGTTTCGGGAGCAAATCCTTGTGCCCTCACAGCTCCTGGCCACCTCTGCCCAGGACCTTCTGTCCCTTGTACACTTCCTGCACTGTAGACACTCATAGCTTTGAAGACCGACTGAGTGCTGCTCTCTCAGATCTGGTAATGTAAAAGGGACTGCCTACCTCACCAGACACTGGGCCCCGCCTGTTTCCTTAGGGAATTCTTCCCTAAGGGTTCCTGGATCCTCTTCTTGCCTCTCCGTATCTACCACAGCAAGTCCTGTCCCACTCTCCCCAACAGAGTACTGCCAAGTCCCACAGTGAGGAGCTACATCATAGCACTAGCATATCTTGGTGGCTGCCCCTCCACTTGGGGCTCTGAGTCCATGCTTCAGGCCAGATGTGGTGTCCTGGAACAGTACCTCGCTTTCTTCCTCTTCCCACTCAAGCTTCCACAGCCCACCTCCTCCCCATCCCCACCCCAAGACCAGAAGCCCTCCCCGGGAGTCTGCCCATAAGTTTCTTCCGGTTGTCCCACAAGCAGACATTTCTAAAGGCCTGGGGTGTTAGCAGGCTGACCACTGCTGTGTTTTTAGTCCTGGTGTTCAGGGTACCAAGCTTGTGGAATGGCCAGGGTATTCTAGAAAGAAGTGTAACAAAGGTTGGAGGAAGAACTCCAGAGGAGAGCAAGTGACAGGTCGAGGGGAGGACTCACCCTGGCACTGTCTCCCACCCCATGGGGCAAGAAGGAAGAAGGAGGCAATAGCTCCAGGCCTGCACTTGAACCAGGAGCATTCTGCAGGACCATGGGTAGGAAGGGCCTCGTCAGAGAAAGGCCTCTTGGCAGAGCCATGCTTTGACCTTTTTCTGGAGGCTTCTCTAACCTGAGCGGAAGGAAGGTCATACCATGAAATCTTTCACTGGATTAAAGAGGCCACACATCCAACAAAACATAAAACCCAGATAGAATTTTCAGTGCCTTCAGGATTCACAACTATTTGACTTACTCCTGCTCCCCGAGGATGCACCAGCCTGGGGACTTCTGGTTCTGCAAACGCTCGAGCAGGAAGGATGGACGTCGTGGCTGTTTTCGTGACAGGCGGGCATCATTGCTGGAGAGAAATGGTCTGTTCTTGGACTGACAAGCTCTGCATGGGACGGACCTGAGATCTTTCTAAGGTTTTCACAGGGAAGCTGAAGGCCAGTCAAAGCAGGGGTTTGTTCCAAGGCTAGCATGTGCATGGGGTAGGCCTGAGCCTAGACAACTTGATGTAACCCTTACAGAAGGGCTCATGCCAGAAGGGGGCAGCCTCTGAGACATTCAGGGTCCTGCCAAGGTTAGGGATGAAGGGGACAGAGCTGGGATGGGGGCTGGTCCAGTACACCATGAGTTATGAGACTCAGTGCTGGTTACTCTGGGCATGGCAGCTGCCTCAGCACAGGGCTGAGAGAAGCCATCCAAGGAGGTGGGGAAAAGATTAGGTCCCCACAAAAAGTGACTGCAGGCCTAAGGAAGGCATAAGAGTCTGTTGACAGTCTGTTGAGTATCATATCATAAAACAGGGAGAAACACATGTCACAGGGGGACAACAGGCCCTTTTTTGCTAATAGTCAAAAAGTTGGGAAATTTCACTGCCTCCCTGATGCCCTGGAAAGGATGGCCTGACAAGCCTCTAAGCAGCTCTGATGTGACAATGCTGTGGCAATCTCATCTTGCCCTTCCCAGGGCTGTCTGTCCCTCATGTATCCTCCCAGTTTTGGCTCTAGGGCTAGAGGCAAAAGTGAGGCAAAGGCCACTCACAGCTCTAGGCAGCAGGGCTCCCCAGCAGCTACTGCCAAGCTACCCAGGATTCCCTGAGAGGGAGGAGCTCGAAACTTCTTGGTCTCCAGGGTGGCATCTCCAGCTTCAGCAGCAACTCCAGAGAGAATGGAATCCTTAAATGTCACTCTCCTGCTGAATGTGATGGGTGCTGGTGGCTGAGACATCCTGCCTGGACCAAGTACCTTCTTTTTCCAGAGCTCAGCACAGTGGCGGACTGCACAGTGGAGGCTGTGGGCTGCCTGCAACACAACTTCTCATCAGCTCCTGCCTTGCCCTGCCAGTTCCTCACCAGCAGCCCCGGCTTACCTGGACCTGCTGCTGTGTCTGCAGCTGCTGCCGGGAAGCCTTCATACCAGCTGCAAAGCGCAGAAGCCGTGTGACGCCCTCCTGCAGGAGCTGCTGATGGTAGTCTTGCACGGCTTGCTCCAGCCGTGCCTTCTTCCTCCTCCTCTCAAATATGAAGCCCAGCCATGCAGTCCACACCTTGTAGAAGGGAGGTCAAGAGATGAGGCTTAGGCTTCTATTTGAGCTCTCAGGACCCAGCCCACAAAGCTGCTCCTGAAGGCAGGAATAACCAGGAAGTTGTAGGACTCTTACCCTTGCCTGTAGTGAGAAGGCCCAGAACCACAGGGCTCGGGCTGTACTCCACTGCTCTTGTTTCCTGGCTGCCAGCTGTCGACCAGAAGAATGCACCGGCAACATGGCCATGGTGAGCTACTCCCAGCTCACCAGGCTCTAGCTAAAGCATCTACTCTCCTACTGGGAAGGGTTCAGGCCCTGACCTCATTCTGACCTTGAGATATTCAGTATGTTCAGGGTCTACAGACTGAAAAAAAAAAAATGACACTATGAAAGGAGAATTCAAAGAGCAATCAGGGACGAATGGAAGGAGCCAATAGGGTTCACAAAGGAATGCTGTGGAGTTGGGAGGCTCTCCAGTCCAGAGCAAGAGTGGCCTATGAACTTGGTTTTGCTAAGCAGAATGTGTGTGACCTTCTGGGTTAGTTTGTTTGGTTTGGTTTTTCAAGACAGGGTTTCTCTGTGTAGCTCTGGCTGTCCTGGAACTGTAGAACAGACTGGCCTCAAACTGCCTGCCTCTGCGGGAGGTGGGGGGGGGAGGGGCGGGCTAGAAAGACAGTATTAAAGAAGGGTTTTGGGTTCCTCCTACCTGCTTCCTCCACTGGCAGAAGCAGGCACGACCAAGTCTCTGTGCCAGGAGTTGGGCACTTTGCTTCTGCAGACACTGGGAAGAGAGCAAACACACAGGGAGTCAGTCTACACTTTACTCTGGTCTAGCCCCAGTCACTGGGGCAGCTGCATGGTGAGGCTACACCTGAGTGGTTATCTTCCTGCCAAGAGCTGTTCCAGATGCCAAAGGCTCCTACACAAGGGAGTGGGTCTGAATGGCTCCATAGTTTCCCCAGATCTGAAAAGCCAGGGGTCAGGGAAACCAGATTTCGCTTCTAAGCCACCTTTTCCTGGTATAGACTTGGTTCTGAGGATTGCCATTCATTTCTACCTTCATTGCCCAGAATGGTTCCTGCAGCCTTGTTTCCACAGAATCCCAAAGCACCAGCACACATACTAGCTGCCTAGAATTTTGTCTGGAGAACCCTCCCCAAGACACCAGCACCTGGTCAAGATAGCCTTGACTCATGTGGAGTTTGGAAAGCTGCTACCAGCTGCCTCACCTTTTTCCTGACACACCCTAGGTGGTATGCCTTCCACCGAGCCATTGCTTCCATCAGCAGCTGCTGGCGGTGATGCTGAGCCGCCTGTTCCACCTGGGATCTCTGCTGCGCCTCCCTCTGGCTGTAGAACTGCCAGCGCTGAAACCAGTTACGGAGACGACCTGAAGCAGATACAAACCAGACAACTGTACAGATTTTCATTCACAAGTGACTTTGTAGCAGGGAACGGTTAGACAGTTGGAGAGATGTTATGTGAGGTGACATCTAGCCTTCTCTGATTTCTTTTTTTTTTAAATGGGGCTGGAGAGATGGCTCAGAGGTTAAGATCACCGACTGCTCTTCCGGAGGTCCTCTGTTCAATTCCCAGCAACACATGGTGGCTCACAACCATCCGTTATGAGATCTGGTGCCCTCTTCTGGTGTGCAGATATACATAGAAGCAGAATGTTGTATACATAATAAATAAATAAAATCTTTAAAAAAAAAAATACCACAGGGTCCATAGCACTGTGCAAGGCCAGGTCAGGTCATTTTTGCACTCTGGGAACTGGAACCAAACTTTTTACTGCTGCATTCCCCAAGCGCTGCCCCAGATTTGTATACCTGTGCAGTCACTGAGGTGTGCCAGGCCGCACAGAGCCACACCAAGGGCGGGTAGGCATGTGGAAGGAAACCTCCAGTTCCAAAAGGGAGCTTCCTACTGGATGGATCCCAAGCTTGGAGAGTGCACAGCCTCATCTTATGAAGCAGGAAATAAGTCTCAGAGAGTAAAATCAAGCAAGCCTGAGATCTGACCAGGACAGTGATAAAACGATCTTCTGGCCATGTTGACTCTCTGGACCCACTGTGTGCACCTTGTCCTGGGGCCCGAGGATGCCTGGTACAGGAGGTACTTCTGGCTCCATTCACAGTCAAAGAAGGTTGTAGTGATATATTATTTGTGATTTATTAAAGCTTGACTGAGCATTCAGGAAAGCAAAGTCAGCCTCTAGCTATAGAGATCAGGCAGTGGTGATAGACATCTTTAATCCCAGCAGCCAGAAGCTAGGAGGTGGTGGCACACACCTTTAATCCTAGACTCAGGATTAAGAGGTAGACAGATCTCTCTGAATTCAAGGCCACCTAGATCTATACAAGATAGACTCAGTCCAAAAGAGAATTAGAGCTCACACCTTTAATCCCAGCACTAGAGGGATATAAAAGGAACAAGTATTCAGAGAGGCATTCATTCTCCAGCCACGCTGAGGAGAGGTTACAGTCTGAGGCTTGGTGAGAGCTCATGGAGACAGAATCAGCCCATTCAGCCTGAGGTACAGTTGAGAGCTAGTGGCCAGCTGCTTTGCTTTTCTGATATTCAACTTGAAGTTTGAACCCCAATATCTGTCTCTGGGCCATTTATTAATTTGTGTTACAGAAGGTAGCAGTCATGAGTGGGAGACCAGCCATTTTACTGGTCTTTATACAGCTTTGAGTGTACCTATCTCCCTAGCTAAAACTATACCATCCCTAAGTATTAACGCCCCATTTTACTAATGAAAAAAAAAAAAGAAAGAAAAGAAAACATACTGAAGTACAGGGGATCCCTCTGAAGTCACATTGCCAGGTGATGTAACTTTTGGCCTCCTGTTTTGTTTTGTTTTTTTGTTTTGTTTTGTTTTGTTTTGTTTGCCTTAAAGAGAGTAAAGTGTCTCACCCCTTAACAAGGAAACTTCTTGTTGAGTTGGAGATGGAGATCATTACAGATGGAGACCATTACAGAAAATGCAACCAAGCAAAAACAGAATACGGAGCCCAGTCCCAACTGATACATCCACAAAACACTCCCACACCTAAGGTTCTGGAACATTTTGGAAGAGAGGGGAAAGACTCTAAGAACCAGATGATCAGGGAGTTTGCTGTGTGACCATCCCCTAGTAATATCAGAAGCTACCAACATGATTGCCCAAATGTGAGCTTAACAAGGACACCAACGGACATTCCAAAGTGAGTGAGGAAAGTTCATGAAGCCTCAAAGAATTACAAGAAACTAAGAAATGCTGACAGTGTGAGAAATAGTCTTCCCCAGGGAAGAGCACACCAACTGGCTACCCAATACCGAGTGGTCAGCCCTGAAAACAAGGTACAGTAACATTACACAGACTGAGCAGGTTATGTTACTGTATGCTTATGTGTGTGTGCAAATGCATGCACACACACATAGTAACAATGGAAAAAGGGCAGGATTTGAAAGAAAGCTAGGAACAGTTTGGAGGGAGGAAAGGGAAGGGAGAAATTATATAATTATAATCTTAAAAAGAAAGAAATGCAGGGAGAGGAGGTAAGAGCTCTGACTATGTGGTCCAGGGTGGCCCTGAACTCCTTGTTCTAGCATGCCTCCTTCCTGCTTTACGAATGCTGGGACTCATGAGCCTGTACTTCATAAGATCCTATACCTGGGTCTTAGGATATTTTCCCTTGAGCTCTAACAAAGTGTGGCAGAGATCCTGAGGTCTTAATATCAGACAAGACAATAAGTGCATGCCTTTAGTCCCAGTATTCCAGAGGCAGAGGCAAGTGGACCTCTGTGAGTTCAAGACCATTCTAGTCTTCACAGTGAGTTCCAAGACAGCCAGGACTACAGAGAAACCCATCTCAAAAACAACAACAAAAAAGACACCAAACCACAAATGTTACTGCATCCCTCCCACAGATGGTTACTTTGTGCTCAGCCTCTTAAGTTCCCTTGTTCCCAGACCCCCTTTTAAGGAAAGTCATTCAGAGATGGCCTGTTGATGCTTCACAGCAAAAACAGCACTTTTATGGGCTGTGGATGAGCAGCTCTCCAGGAACTTCCTGGGCTCCCAGCACCAGAGATGGACTACTGAGGAACACTATCTTGTAGGCTGCATAAGCACCTTGTCATCTCCTGCCGGACTCCAGCTATTCTGGGTTGACTCTGGCTGTTGAGGCCTAGCCTCAAGGATGAGTAGTGGGTTCTCAGCATCTCAAGTATGACTTGGATAATATCTAAAAATATGTATGTATGTATGTATGAATGTATGTATGTATGTATGTATGTATGTATGTATGTATCACTGCAGAGGACCAAGATGGGCAACAGCCAGAAGAGGAAGGGTTCTCCCCTGAGCCTCTGGCCTCCAACACTGAGAACATTGGGTCTTCTATGAAGTCTCCTAGTCACACTCTTCCTGGCAGGCGCTGTTCTCACAGGCCTCTCTTACCCCTGCCCAGTGCTTTCCGGGCCTCCCTGAGGGCAACCGCCTTCTTTTCTCGGTAATATATCTGCATTGATGTAACCTCCCGCCACTGCACCAGGACCTGTAGACAGGCAGAGAAAGAGGTTATCATTTCATGTTCTGACATCAAGGATACACTGTGACCAGGAGTGAGTCTCAAGGGGTAAGACTCAGGAGTTAACATTTGGCTCTCACGGCCGACCATCGACACAGGCGTGGGTTGGGGCTTCAGTCCCTCACAGCAACCCTGACACCTCAGACACTGGGACTTTCCTATCAGGAGGATCTAAGCTTTGTATTGTGCCACACAAGTGAAGTTGTTATATAAATTATAATCTTATTGTCATTTGTTATGCATTATATTAATACTTTCTTACAGAGGAAATCCAGTAACAAACCCTTTGTGGGGCAGTGCATACAGGCACACGCCTTTAACCCCAGCACTTGGGAAGCAAAGACAAGTGGATCTCTGTGAGTTTGAGGCCAGCCTGGTCTACATAGGGAGTTCTAGGCCAGCCAGGGCTACATAGTAAGACCCTATCTCAAAACAAAACACAAAATCCTGAGCGCCCTGTTTTGGCTAGATGATTGTCTGGACAATGAATTCTCAGAACCCTCTTATTTTTACTCCAACTCCAAGACAGGGCCTACAGATGTACATAGTCATGTTCAACTTTTATGTGGGAGCTGGGGATTTGAACTCAGGTCCTCATGTTTGAACAGCATGTACTTTAACCACTTAGCCATCTCCCCAGCTCCACTAAACACATTTAAAGAAGTCAGGTAGCTAGATGAAGCATGGTCATGATAACCCAATCCCAGCTGAGTGGCCTCTCTTTGGAGCACTAAACCCAACCAGATCTGATTATTTCCTCCCAAGGCAGGGGCCACCCAGGCTGTCTTGAGCATTTCTGAAAAGAGGCCAGCCTTCACCAAATGCAGCTGCTGCCTCCTTGGGGAACTACATGGTCATCAGCAGGTAGGCCTTATGCCACTCAAGAGCTCCTAGCAATCTGCTTTCTTCAGAACAGCCATGACCCTGGGCCTGCCTCTGCTACTGTTTCTGTTTGAACCACTTCCTTGTATTATGCCCCAACACCATGCTCATCCATAGCATGCATGGGACCTGTAGGGTATCTCCATACATTCACCCCAGAAAAGGAAACGAGGTAGTTTGGGGTCAATTCAAACTACGGACAACCAAGGACTTCTTGCAATCTATGAGCCAGTGAGTGCACTCTTCCAACAAGGACACTGAATCTCTCAGTGGCTTCCAGGCTTTATCTAAATCTAGTGTTGCACATGTGTAGGAAATGCTGGTCCTGGCAAGAACTAGTTTGTTCTATATGACACCATTTTCATTTTAGAGACCAGTGATTCCTAATTCAGTACAAACAAAAATGCCTATAGACATGCATGTTTGCAAGGTGGTAACCCACTCTGGGAGTTCCTTGTTAAGTGCTAATGCCACATGCTGGCTGGAATGTGATCCCCAAGCTTCCGGGTGACCAGTCTGTACTTCACCTTGGAGCACAGAGTCCTGTTGTATTGGGCTCTTGCTTGGGAGGTTTTCTTGGCCATATCCAAACGGGCCACAGTGTTTTCTCTCCAACGTCGTAACACCCACCTGCAAATACATGGACCAGGTGAGAGCAATGACCCCAGTTTGGAGGGCTTTTGTGAATCAACCTTACTCCTCCCAACTCCTGAGTAAGGACTCTGCCTCAAAGCACCTGTTCACTGTCCCTCAGGCTTATGGTCTGGTATACACCCAACAACAGATGCTGAGCGTCAGCTCTGTGCCAGGTACTAGGTGGGACCAGGTAGCCAACAGTACACCAGGCCATCACTGAGTCTTCAGGAGTTTAGTGATAAAGAGAACACAGCTGTAACCAGATGGCAACAGTTCAGGTGATTCACAATGAGGTAAGAGGCCCATGAACCCTAGTGCCTACTTGCCGGAGGTTTACTTTCTCATTCTGAAGGACTGGATGGTGCTTTGTGGGGACTTCAGCGGAGAGATAGTGTTAAAAGTCCTCACTATCCATGGCCCTACAGTCTGCCAGAACAACATGTGCTGAACAAACACAGAGGGAAAGGGAACAGGGTCGTCCAGCTGAGCAAGAGTGAACTCAGAGCTTGGATTATGAGGAAAGGAGGTGGGCCCTGAGTACCCTTCAGTGGTGAGAGGTATAGATGGTCCTCTATAGAGGTGACTCAAGAGGGGCAGCTGGAAGGGATTGTCTGGGAGCTGACACACAGAGACTGCAGACTCCAGACAGGAGTGGGGATGAAATAATGCCTCATGAGGTACAAAATGTCAGGTGTGAAGCAGGGAGGAAGAACACTCAGAGGAACAGGGCAAGTGGGGTCCATGTGGGCCTTCGATGAGGTGTCTCAGAGACCGCGGCCTTCGAAGGTTACCCTGCACAGACATGGCAGGACATGCTGAGGTGAGCAGAACTGTGCACATGATCCCCGCTAGGCACTGAGGCTGGTTACCTGCACGGCCTGATGCAGAACTGCCCTCATCCACCCACACCTGACTTGGGAATCTCTTTCCTCAGCCCAAGTACCTAAAGGCACTCAGACACTCACCTTAGCAGCTGCCTGTTGTATTGTCTCTCCCTGGCTGCCACCTCCTGTAGCACACTCCTCACCCTGTCCTGGTAAGTCTGTAGAGATGACAGAATTGGAGGCCACCCTTGGGCCCACACTTCTTTCTTTACAAGTCAGTCTCAGAGGTGCATTTACCACAGTGGCTGTCATGATCGAGCGACTAAAGAGTGGGTAGAGGTGAAAGCCCCCCATTCCATGGCCAGCACCTGCCCCCATTATAATGTCCCACAGGCCCAACTCCTAGATTCTTATACAGAAACCAGCTTTCCAGGAAGGATGGGACCTCAGGCAGCACTTTTTGGGATACCTGCTCTGTTTGAGTCTTACCAGATCATTGTGGGAGGGAACATGAACAAAGAACATCTCGGAAAAACCTCCCCACCCAAAAGCAAGGAACCTGGAAGAGTGAGCTGGCTCCTACCAGCCACTTCTGCAGAGTCCTGTAAAGCAGGGTGTGCTGACTGTGGAGAGCCGCACGCCTCAGCTTTTGCTGTTCTTCCATCCTCAGGGCCAGGCGCTGCACAGAGGAAAGAGTGGGTACTGTGGGTTGTAGGCTGGGGGTTGAAGGGAAGCTCATTGCAGCATTGTTTCTATTTTACATTCTGTGAGCTCACATAAGTGGAATACACTACTTGAGCCTCAGTCTTATCTATAAATATAGACCTCCTAGGGGTTGGTGGGTATCAAATGAGCAAGTGCCCAACAGGAAATGCTGGACAGGCTTTGGCTTCAACATTATAACCTCAGCGAAGTTTCTGTGAATGGCCAGACCAGGATCTTTACAATAAGTTCAGATAAGAGCAGCCTGATACATAAAGGACAAGAAACCTTGAGCCAATCCCTCACAAAAGTAAGTCAGCACTGCCTCACTGCTGCCTTTGACCAGGGGCACTGTGAAGGAGCCTGTCTGTCTGCTGAGTCTGAGTCATGCAGACAAACAGCTCCACCTGTCCAAAAGCCACACTCGGGCTGTGCCCATGCCAAAGCCTTACCTCGCTCCACATGCTCCAGGCCCAACGCAGGAGCTGTGCTGAGTAGAAGTGTGCAGCCTGTGCCCTGCCCATCCTCCTGTGGGGAAACAGGAGACTGCTCAGCAGGGTCTAGGCCACAAGGGGCCTCAGGACTCCCCTTTGCAGCCCTGGTCCTCTTCCCCACTGAGCTCTGGGAGTGAAGAGCTGTCTAATGACCTGGGCCTTTCCCAGGAAAGGGCACAGAGATTCAAAATTTTGCAGACAACCTGATGACTTCAAGGCCAGACATCTCTGCATTAGTCACAAGGGCTGCAATCACTCCCCATTGTAGCCTTGTAGTCTGGTAAAAATTGCCACAACCTGCCCACTAGCTAATGGTCAGCCACCCGATACTGGGTTCATCAGCCTCTGTGCCACCACTGGCCATAGTCAATTTACATGGGTCCCAGGCAGGAAGCAGGGCAGTGATGGATTCCAAGCTGCTGTCCCTGTTTCAGGCCGAGTTTCTGGGACACACAAACAGCCCCAGCTGACACAACATTATAAGTGGGCACTTGAAGCTGCCGCCAAGCTGGCCTGAGGGAGGAGGGGCTCTGTAGTAGAATGCTGCTCACTCTGTCCTTAATCCTTGGGCGCTTCCCTTCCAGACACAGAAAGCCTTCCCGAGCAGCCTGTTGTGGTGGTGGGCACAGGCCACGGCTTGCCGCTCCTGCTCTTGATGACATGCTGCTGCCTGCTGGTGCCACATGAACCAGGACCTCCGCAAAAGCTGCTGCTCTGCCTGTAGTATAGCCTGAGCAGGATGAGAGGAAACAGTTCAGTCCAGGAGGACAGCAGATCAGAGACTAAAGGAGAATCTGTGACCAGCAAAAGAAATGCTCTCCCAGTGGCTGCCTGTGAACTGAGCTGACTTCAATGTCCAGACCCTCCCAGGCTCAGGAACCCCAGGCAAGAGTCTGGCAGGGTGAGCCAGAGTTTGTGCAGCTTCTTGAAGAATGGCTCAGGACAAGTGCTTAAAATAGATCCTTCCCCCAAGAACCCACACAAGGAGGGCTACACACCATTCTCTCAGCCAAGCGGTTTTCTCGGTGCTGAGACATCTTCTGCCGCCAGATAGCAAACACTTGCCTCTCTAATGTCTCCCTACACACAAGCAAATGAGAAAACCTGACTAAAAGTCAAGCATTTACAATCAAAGACAAACAGAAATCTAATAGAGGTTGGTTGGTGAGATGGCTCTCAGCAAGTTTGGCTCCCTGGGAGCTAAAACAATACCACTCAGCTCCTTGACCTTTTTAACTCTGTGAATGACTATGGTTATAAGACAGTGGTTCTCAAACTTTCTAATGCTTTAATACAGTTTCTCATGTTTGGTGACCCCCCAACCATAAAGTTATTTTCATTGCTACTTTATAACTATAATTTTGCTACTGTAATGAATTGTATTGTAAATATCTGTGTTTTCCAATGGTCTTGGGCAACCCCTGTGAAAGGGTCATGTGACCCCTCCAATGAGTCACAACCACTGTTCTAAGCTTCAAAAGACCGTATCTTATAGAATAGGAGAGCAGTATTTTAGGGAAATCACCCAATGTGAGGTTCCACCAAAGCTCTCATTACAATAGGAAACTCAGTGCTCATGAGAAGAGAGTGGAAGCAGAAACACAAGCTGTTTGTAAAGCACTTGCAATACAGACGGACAAAAGTCTTCCCAGGAAGTACTGGCTGAGTTTTGATCAAAAGGTCCTCATTACTGAAACCCAGAGGAACCAGGGACTGGGAAAGCCAAGGCATTCTAAAGTTTGCAGAGTTAGTTAGATCAGAGCGGTCTGTCGGACTGCACAGCATACCTGTGAAAACGCACCGCTCTTGTGTGGAGGACTCGACTCTGCTGGTGCCATTGCCAGAGTCTGTACCACATATGGAAGGCAGTAGGCAGTGCTCTCTGCTGGAAATGACCATCAGCTCTGGCCTGCAGTAACTAAAGCAAAATAACAAATGGCCTTTGTGATTTATGTTCGGAGTCACACTCTGTTGAGATAAGATCTGCTTCTCATACAAATACAAGTAAAAACTGAAGGGAAATGTTATGTTTGCCCTTTGCCAATTGGCTAGGTAAAAAAATGTACCATGAGCCAGGTGTGGTGGCACATGCCTTTAATCCCAGCACTCCGGAGCTCCTAGGTTTGATTCTCAGCACCCACATGATGGCTCACAGCCATTTGTAATTCCAGTCCCTTCAGGTCCTATGCCTTCTTCTGGCCTCCGTGGGCAGCAGGCACACATGTGGCATACAGACAAATATGCAGACAAAATACTCATACATATTAAATAAATAAATAAATAAATGAGAAAAAAATCTTGGGGCTGGAAAATGGCTTAGTAGTAAAGAGCACTGTTGCTCCTCCTGAGGACCCAGGTTCAGTTTCTAGCCCCCAAGTCAGGTAGCTTACAATCCCTGTAACAGGTCTGTGACATAGGTCACCCTCTTTTGGCCTACACAGACACAGCATTCATGAGTACATACATGCAGAAATGCACATACACATAACTAAAAATAATGTTTCAAAAAGATGAATCTAGGGGGCTGGAGAGATGGCTCAGCGGTTAAGAGCGCCGACTGCTCTTCCAGAGGTCCTGAGTTCAATTACCAGCATCCACATGGTGGCTCACAACCATCCGTTATAAGATCTGGTGCCCTCTTCTGGTGTGCAGATATACATGGAAGCAGAATGTTGTACACATAATAAATAAATAAAATCTTTAAAAAAAAAAAAAGATGAATCTAGGGGCTAGAGGTTAGCAGCATTTGTTTGTTCCTGCAGATGACCCAGATTCAGTACCCGGAACCCTTATGGTGGTTCACAACTGTCCACAACTCTAGTTCCAGAGGATCCAACACCCTCTTCTGGCCTCTGTAGACACTGCACATGCATGTAGACACACATACATATAAATAAATTAAATTTAAAAAAAAGATGCTTTAAAAAAGTCTAATGAACACTTATGAACTTATCTTCCCAATTCAGCAACAAATAGGTGATGGGGAATGCCCTTCTGTGTATGTTTATCTTATTGGTTAATGAATAAAGCACTGTTTGACCAGTGAGGCAGAAAAATAGGTGGGATAGGAGAGAAGGAGGATTCTGGGAAATGTAGTAAAGAAGTGTTGTGATCCAGGCAGGAAGTGACATAGCAGGGAGACTCGTATATAAGCAAGGACAAGAAGGAAGTCATCCCTTTTCTCTTGCTCTTCCTCCTGGTCTCTGCTCTAGAGTCGACACATGATCCAACAGCAAGAGAGGGCGCCAGCAGAAGGCATCCTTGATAAGATAATTAAGACTGAGCTAGTAGATGAGAAATCCTAGTCATTGGCCAAAAAGCATTTATACCTAATATAAGTCTCTGTGTGTTACTTGGGACTTTAACATGGCGGTGGGAGGATCTCAGGCAGCCTGGCAGAAAGACTTATTGTTACAAATAGGTATTTTATCATTCTGTATGTTACTTTTTTAAAAAATTATTTTTATTTCATGTGCATTCATGTTATGCCTGCATGTTCGTCTGTGTGAAAGTATCAGATTTCCTGGAACTAGCATTACAGGCAGTTATGAGCTGTCATGTGGGTGCTGGGTATTGAACACTGAGCTTCTGGAAAAGCAGCCAGTGCTCTTAACTACTGAACCATCTCTCTAGTCCCATCTGTGCGTTACTTTTGGTTGCTTGCTAGTTTGTTTTTTGAGACAGGGATTATCTATGTAGTCCTGGCTGTCCTAGAACTCACGATATAGACCAGGCTGGTCTCAAACTCAGAGATCCTCCTGCCTCTGTCTCTTGAGTACTGGGATTAAAGGCATGTGCCCTCATGTCGGGCCTGTTTTAATTTTTTTTTTTTGAAACATGGTTTAACTACATATTCCAGGCTCACTATATATAGCTCAGACTAGCTTAGAACTTGTAATCATCCTCCCTCAGTCTCTGGAGTGCTGGAATTACAAGCAGGTACCATTGGTGGTTATAGTACTTTTATTTCTTTCCTTTTTTTTTTTTTTCCTTTCCCAAAACAGGGTTTCTCTGTGTATTCCTGGCTGTCCAGGAACTCTCTCTATAGATCAGGCTGGCCTTGAACTCAGAGATCAACCTGCTTCTGCCTCTCAAGTTCTGGGTTTAAAGATGTGTCCAGCCACATTACTTTTGGGTGGGGGGCTGGTGGTGATTGAGACTGGGCTTCTCTGTGCAACAGTCCTGGCTATCCTGGAACTCACTCTGTAGACCAGGCTGGCCTTGAACTCGGAGATCCACCTGCCTCTGCCTCGCAAGTGCTGGGATTAAAAGTATGTGCCACCACTGCCCAATTTACATTACTTTTTAGAAGAAATTCACAATGAATAATCTTGTGTTTCCCTAAAACAGAAAGGACTGTGCTCCTGGGATAGTACAATGATAGGTAACACTTGTGTTGTTTTTAGCAAAAGGCTTTTACAGAGTAGTGGTCAGGGCATGCTCCTGTTGCTCTTTGACCTGTTCCTCCTCCAGAAGCAGGTTGAGCTACAGCAGCATAAAAAACCTGACCTGCATCTTCCCAGCCACCATGGGAAACTCTTCTCTTTTTGCTAGAATTACAGGCAAGTAAGCTCTCTTTTTCAAATCACATTTTTGTTTGTTTTTTGTTGTTCGCTTACTTTTATGAGACAGGATCTGGTGTAGCTCAGGCTGGTCTTGAAACTGCTATGCATCTGAGGATGACCTTGAAATTTACTTATTTTTATTTTATGTGCATTGGTGTTTTGCCTGCATGTGTGTCTATGTGAAGGTGCCAGATCCCCTAGAACTGGACTTGAAGACAGTTGTGTGCAGCATTAGTTCTAATAGATCTTAATAATAAAAACCCAGAGTTGGATATCAGGGTAAATGCTGAAAGATCAAAGAAGTAAAAGAACTAGCCACAAGAGAGACTTCTTACCTCTAATGAATCCTCAGACCAAAGGGGCGATCCTGTTCCTATGAATCCCTAGACTAAATGCAATTAGCTCCTGTCTCCATCTTCCCTAGTACTGGAATTAAAGGTATGAGCCACCATCACCTGGTTGTTTCTCTTTTAGATTGATCAATTTTGTGTAGCCCAAAGTGGCCTTGAACTCATAGAGTTCCACCTGCCTCTGCTTCCCCAGTGCTGGGATTAAAGGTGTGAACCACCACTGACTAGCGTCTATGGGTAGGGTGGCTAGCTCCAAAATCTGATCTTCAGGGCTGGAGAGATGGCTCAGTGGTTAAGAGCACTGACTGTTCTTCCAGAGGTCCTGAGTTCAATTCCTGGCAACCACATGGTGGCTCACAACCACCTTGAATGAGATCTGGTGCCCTCTGCTGGCATGCAGGCAGAAGACTGTATACATAATAAATAAAATCAATAAAAATATCTACTTTTAAAAAAATCTGATCTTCAGGCAAGCTTTATTTGTTAGATAACAAACAAAATATCACAACAGTTGTGAGCTGCCAGGTGGGTGCTGGGAACTGAACCTGGGTCCTTTGGAAGAGTGGTGAGTGCTCTTAACTGATAAGCCATCTCTCCAGTCCTGACCCTAAACTTCTTATCCTTCTGTTTCTACTGCCCAAGTGCTACAATGGTGGATATGAACCAGCACACCTGCTCCCCACCCCCACCCCTGGTCATCTCACAATGCAGCCTGAGTTAGTCTGAACCTCACTATTCAAAGTGACTTTGAACTTGGCAGCAATCCTCAACCTCTGCCCCTTAGGTGTTGGCATTTCAGATGTGTGCCACCACGCCCAGCTTCCAGATAACCCCCAGAAGCATTCTGATGTGGTCAAAGACAGCTCATCCATGTAAATGAATCAGCACTCACTGGTGAGTACCGGGCTCGGCTAAAACAGGCAAGTGTGGTGATATTTGTGATTTATCAACAAAGCTTCCTTGAGGATTCAGAAAGCAAAGCCAGCCTCAAGCTATAGAGATCAGACAGTGATGGCAACACCTTTAATCCCAGGGCTCAGGACTAAGAGATAGATGGATCTCTGTTAGTTCAAGGCCACACCAACTGCACAATTGATCTAGTCCTAAAAGAAACAGTTAACACAAAGGTGATCTCAGCACTTGGGATCAAGTGCCTTTAATCCCAGCGCTAGAGAGTTGGAAACAGGAATTCAGAGTCTTTTGCCTCTGAGGATTCATAGAGACAAGACTGCCATTTCAGATGGATAGAGGTAAGATCTATTGGCTTGGCTGCTTTGCTTCTCTGATCTTTACCTTAAAGCTTGAACCCCAATATCAGTCTCTGGGTCTTTTATTTATCATATTACAGGCAGGCCACACCCCTAAGAAGCTACAGGCTAGGCAGGTATGATTATGTACTCCTTTAAAGCCCACACTCAGGAAGCAGAAGCAGGAGGGTCTCTGTGAGTCCAAGATCAGCCTGGTCAACAGAGTGCATTCCAGGACAGTCAGGGCTACACAGAGAGACCCTGTCTTGGAAAAATACAACAAACAAAAGAAGCAGCAGCAACAGGCTAACTGGAAAGAAAAGTTAGCTCACAACTCTATGTTAATGTTCTGATTAATTACTCAGGCAGAGTTACAGGCAAGGGAGTGAGGGAGCACGTAAGCTGACAGGTACAGCAAGAGGCAGAAGCGCACAGAACATTCAGGAATGACAAAGGGCAGATATGAAGACCTAGCTTCCAATTCCCACTCTATCCCACAAATGAGAAGCCAGCTCAAATGTGCCAGTCCAATTGTGGCAGCAGATTATGTCGCCCGGGGAAAGGGCAGTGCAAAAACAATTGAGGGAGTTTAGTTTGTATCATCCTCTTACTCACTGCTAAGGATGGCCAAGCATGAGCATTCTCCATGAAAATATCAAATGAAACAACATCCCTATTAAGTGTCAATCTGGTATCAACATCTTCCATTTAGGGGCTAAAGAGATCACTCAGCTGTCAAGAGCAACTCCTGCTCTTCCAGAGGCTTAGTTCTTGGCACCACGTCAAGCAACTCAAAACCAGCTTGTTATTCCAGCTCTAAGGGATCCAACACCTTCTTCTGGCCTTATGGGCACCTGCACACATCACACACATCACACACATCACACACATCACATACAACTTTAAAAAAAACAAAACAAAACAAAAAAAACCTTCATTTAGCATTCCAGACACCTGTGCCCAACCGTCAGAAGTGACTTGCCACCCTGGCTGAGGGAGCAGAAACTCTGCTGTACCCTTAGAAAAGGCACAGGGCCTAAGGCAAAGGTATGCAGTAGGCATTTCTTCTGTGGGGGCCAGGCAGGGTGGCACACTCCATAATCCCAGCACTTTGGGGAATGACACCGGCAGCTGTGGGACAGTTCAGAAAACACATGGATGTGAGTGAAGAGCTAAAAGGCTGGGAAGAGCCACTCCTTCCCAACCGCGCCCCTGTCTTCTAGCAGTGAAAGAATGGGGAGCTGTGCAGACTAACAAACCAGTGAGGGCTGGAGAGAAAACACCTCCATGTTCTTATAGTGCCGCCCCCCAAAGCACAACCAGGTTTCCTGGCATATGACTTTCCCAAGCATCTTCCCAAAGCAGGCAGCTGAGTTGCCCGCTTCGGTGTACTCCATACCTGCTGGTGTCTTCTCTTGTGCACAAATCGTAACCATACCCTGACACACTTGCGTAGGACTGTCATCCTGGAACAAAACAAAACAAACAAACAAACAAAAAAAAATCAAAGAACTGTATATTGGCATTGTCAGGTGTAAGACTGTACTGTTTCTAAGGTAGATGCTTCTGGGTCCCGTTACTTCTTGTGGGTTCTGGGCACCCCAGGGGCTTACTGGCTTCATCCTTACTAACATGAAGCCATTGTTTCCTGATCTTGAGTGTTGGCTGGCTTTAAACGTTCAGCACTTTCTTGGGGTCTCCTTGGTTGACTTTTTGCGGGGCTTCACCTGTGCTAGGCAAGCGTCTACCACTGTGCTATACCCCAACCGCTGGCCACTCACTGGGAACCTAATTAGAGCAACAAGCAGTGTGTCTAGGACTTAGGATAGGAAACCTCCTGGGCAACTGAACTTCCTGGGGTCAAAGCAAACTCTGGGGTTTATCTAGGACTCCTGGCACACAAACCTGACACGTAGTGACACTGTGACAATAACATGCTTGGCCTTGTAAACCAGGATTTAGAATAATGACACACTTTGATAATGCTGATTGAGTCAGTTTCTTTCTTTCTTTCTTTCTTTCTTTTTTTTTTTTTTTTTTTTTTTTTTTTTTTTGGTCTCCTGGAATTAAGTGTTTGCCTGCATGTATGTATGTGCACCATTAGAGAGCATTGGATCCCCTGGAACTGGAGTTACAAAGTTACAAATGGTTATGAACCATCTGTTGTGGTGAAGAACTAGTGCTCTTCAGCACTGAGCCATGTCCCCAATCCCAAATATTAGGATTTTGTTTTGTTTCTTTTTTTGTTTGTTTTGTTTTTGTTTTGTTTTTTTGAGACAGGTTTCTCTGTGGCTTTGGAGGCTGTCCTGGAACTAGCTCTTGTAGACCAGGTTGGTCTCGAACTCATAGAGATCCCACCTGCCTCTGCCTCCTGAGTGCTGGGATTAAAGGCGTGTGCCACCAACACCTGGCTGTTTTGTTTGTTTTTTGAGACAGGGTTTCTGTGTAGCCCTGGCTGTCCTGAAACTTGTTCTGTAGACCAAGCTGGCCTCAAACTCATAGAGATCCGCCTGCCTTTGCCTCCTGACTGCTGGAATTAAAGGCATGTACCACTAACGCCCGGCAAATATTAGGATTCTTAATTACTCATTAGAAATATGCTGTGAAGCTGGGGATATAGTTCTATGGCAGAACACCTGCTTAACATGTGAGAAGCATAGGGCTGGATCCCTAGAACAGTAAGTAAGCGAATAATAAAATCGTCCAAAATTGGATCAGTAACTGCAAGTCACACTGATGACACTGGGAGGCGAGAAAGGAAAAGGAGTCAAGACATTACATAACATGGCAGCAAGGGCTGGAAGAAGAGAGACTAGCAACTTTTATTTTCATTTTACACTTTCTTTCTGCATATTTTTAATTTTTCCTCATAAATATTTACTTAAAAATAAGTGTATTTGCCAGGCAGTAGCAGCACACTCCTTTAATCCCAGCACTAAGGAGGCAGAGGCAGGTGGATCTCTGTGAGTTTGAGACCAGCCTGGTCTACAGAGTGAGTTCTAGGACAGCCAGAGCTACACAGAGAAACCCTGTCTTGAAAAACCAAAATAAGTAAATAAAGATATGTATTTAAACTGGATGACTGGCTCTAAACAATGTAGGACATCCTCTATTTTCAGGAAGACCTAGCCCCAAATATCGTCCTAGCCTGACCTTTGCCATTAAAAAAGCACAGGGCCTTTAAAAAAAAACTCTTTGGCTGTAGTGCAGGGGCTCAAGCTCACCTTGCCTCTGCTAAGCAAGCACTTTGCCACTGAGCTACATTACCAGCCACAAAAGGCCTGCGGAAGGACGGAGGCAGTGGCAGTCATCAAATAGGCACATAGTGGTTGCTGGACAAGATCTAATGTAAACTGCATCACCTCACCTCCCGTGTGACCTGTAAAAGCAAACCACACTCAGGAGCCATTACTTTATAGCGTGGCCTTCACTAGGATAAGGTCCTTACAGTTTTTTGCTTGCTTGTTTGTTTTCTGTGTTTTTTTCCAGGTGACAGTCCTGTGCAAGTGTGTCAGATAAGTGTGGTTATAGTACGTGCACAAGAGAAGATGCAAGCAAATATACACACAGGTGTTACTGTGCAGCCCTGGCTGTCCTGGAACTCACTCTGTAGACCAGGCTGGTCTTGATCTCACAGAGATCCACCTGCCTCTCTGCCTTCTGAGCACTAGGATTAAGGGCATAGTCCACACATGGATAAAAAAGTCTTGAGAAACTAACTCATACCAGAGTAGTTACTTGCTCCTGGAAAACCCTACATCAAAACCACCAAGTGTCCCTAGAGAGGTCAAGGCTGAATCAAGCTCCTACCTGTAGTGGCTCCAGGCTGTACCCAGTGAGGGCAGCTGCACTCTCTCCTCCCTCTGCTCAATTCGAGATTGCCAGAGGTTCCAGAACCTACGGAGCAGCTGCAGAATGGCAGGAAGAAAACAAGTGCATCACAGTGAGAAGTGAGAGGAGGCCTCTTAGTGTAAGTACTGACCCCAGCACACTGTGAATTCCCACAGGGAGCTCTGCCTCACTGGGGAGCAGCCCACTTATAGCGCTGGCCTAGAGAGCCATATTCTGAGTCAGTATAAAAGGCACTTCGAGTAGATAGACAGCCACATGAAAACAGTAAGTGTGGCTGGGTATTACAGAAGACTTTTTTTTTTTTTTTTTGAGACAGGATCTCACTATGTAGTCCAGGCTTAAACTCATGATCCCCTTGCCTCCATCCCCTAAGTGCTATAATTATAGGCACTGTACTATCACGTTCAGCAGGCAATACCATTCTTTAAAGTCATTTTAGAAATTAAAACCATTACATATTGGCACATAGGAAGTTGCTGTCAAAGTGTTTAATTCCCATGTTTAAGCCTCTGGGTCTAGTATCTAGTTTATGAGAGCTACACAGAATAAAAGAAAGTTAAATGATTTTTTTTTTTTTTAAAAAGGAAAAAATAGCCAGGCATGGTGGTACATGCCTTTAATCCCAGCAATCAGGAGGCAGAGGCAGGTGGATCTCTGTTAGTTTGATGCTAGCCTGGTCAAGTGAGTTCCAGGACAATCAGTCCTGTTATACAGAGAAACCCTGTCTTTAAAACACCATTAAAAAAAAGAACAAATATATTGAGAATGAGGATCATAATAAAAACTAGCCTGACCTCTTCAAAGAGCCAATGTCATTGTCAAGAAAAAGATACATATCATGCTAAGTGAAAATAAGCCAGTCACAAAAGAACAAATAGTCACAATACTCCTTTGAAGTCTCCAAAACATCAAAAAGCAGACAGAAAGCAGAAGAGTAGCTGCCAACAGCTACAGGGAAAGAACAATGGAACTGGACTTCCCTGGGTATAATGTAAATTTAGTTTTGTTTTGAGAAGGGTGAGGAAAGCTCTGGCTGATCTAGAACTTGCTATCAAATAATAACTATTTGGTCAGGCAAGATGTTGAAGTGGGTAAAGACACTTGTAATGCAAGCCTGACCCATCTGAGTTCCACACAGAACCTACACGTGGAAGCAGAGAGCCAGCTTCCAAGCCCCTCCCTCCCTCCCACCCTCCACTCCACACACACACATACATAAATCTACACTTTTCAAAAGATTACAACTTTTATGTGTGTTCTGCTACAATTCAAAAATATAAAAACTGGGGACTTGCTGATTTCTTAGAAGACCAGAGTTTGGCTCCCAGCACCGACATCAGGTGGCTCACAACAGCCTGAAACTCTAGCTCCAGAGAATCTGAGACTTAAGTCAGAAGGCTGAGAGAATGCTGCTCTAGCTGAGGCACTGAGGAGACATAATGACCTTGGAGCTCAGCAGTGGATTCCAGGATGGGGGCTCAGAAAGAAGAACATTGAGGCAATTCTGGGTTACACAAAAAGACTGTCTGCAGACAAATGATTGACAACAGAGTGTAGCCTAAACAAATCCTAAGCTGAAAAGACGCTTTGAAGCAGTTGTGGAAAATCGGAAAATGACGTGGATGGCAGTACAATACTGCTGTTAATTATGTTAGGGATTACAAAGATCATCTATGATATGTAAAAACTGTTTGTTTGGGCCAGGCATTGGTGGCGCACGCCTTTAATCCCAGCACTTGGGAGGCAGAGGCAGGTGGATCTCTGTGAGTTCCAGACCAGCCTGGTCTACAGAGTGCCAGGACAAGCTCCAAAGCAATACAGAGGAACCCTGTCTGGAAAAACCAAAAACAAACAAACAAACAAACAAAAACCTGTTTGGTATTAATTCATATTGAAGTATTTAAGTGTTTACAATTTACTTTGAAATTATGTGGGAGAAAATTGCAAACAAACATATTAATGAATGTTGAGTCTAGGCAGTATATAGATCATTATACTAATTCCTTCTGGGTATTTTTTGTTGTTTTTGTTTGGGGGGGTGTTTGTTTTTTTGGAACAGAGTGAGTCACTACCACCCGGCTCGAAAATAGGCATTATTTAGGAGTGTAAAATCTAAGTGAAGTGCCATGCACAGTAGTGCACATCTATAATTCCAGGACTCAGGAAGACTGTGAATTCAAGACCAGCCCAGACTTTACAGTGAGTTTGAGGTCCACCTGAGCTAACCACACAGCAAGGCCCTGTCTGGGAGGGATAATTCTCACCGTGGTATCACGCAGCTGGTGAGCAAGGTTCGTTCTTATTCGCCAGAGATGGGCCTGGGTCACATTGTCTTTTAAGGCTCTCAAGCAAAAATACTGCACACAGAAACAACACAGGGTTATAAAGCAGCATCAGCGTCTGTGACAGGAAAGCAGAATCAGAGGCCAGTATGGCTCAGAGTCGCTTCATTTCCTGGAGTTTCTCTACATTGCACCTAACAGAATTAAACCTATGTACCTCTCAGTAACGCTGGCTTCACACAAAAACATGCCCTTGCCTCTGAAAAGGAGGAGACAGACTCCTCATGACCCACAGGAAAAAGAATTGTAAAAAAGTTGAATATTGGCTGGGCGAGGTGACCTATGCCTTTAATGCCAGACTTCGGAACCACCTAAGAGTTAATGTGTGTGTTCATCTGCAGAATTATAAATGTGGCTTGACAGAGTAAACTAAGATGAATCTGTGATGGTTGGCACTCATTGTCAACTTGACAGGGTCTAGGACTATCTGTGACCAGGCCTCCGGTCCTGCCTATTGTAGACTGCTTCACTGAATTAACTCAAGTGTGAAGACCTACCTCACTCCTGACTGGGATACAGTACTGCATAGGTAGAGAAGGGGAGTTGACAACAAAACCAGTTGTTCCTAGCTCCTGCTGCTTTGACAGACTATACCTTCAACTGTGTGTGTGGTTTTTTGGGGTTTTTTGTTTTGTTTTTTTCAAGACAGGGTTTCTCTGTGTAGCTTTGGAGCCTATCCTGGCACTCGCTCTGGAGACCAAGTTGGCCTCGAACACACAGAGATCCGCCTGCCTCTGCCTCCGGAGTGCTGGGACTAAAGGTGTGCGCCACCAACACCCGTTGGTGTTTAAATGAATTCTTTCCATCTCTGAGTTGCTTTCACTGGGATATTTTATCACAGCAACAGAAAGAGACACTTAGAATCCTTGGGACCACATTCCCAATTCTGTCATTATATATAAACAAAGCAGTAGAGTGAAGAGGTTGGCCTGGGTTAGGGATTTCCATAGTGTGTTCTGTGAAGTACCTGAGGTTCCTAAGGTCTCTGAAGGCCAGCTCATGAGGCAGGGGCAGCCCACAGGACAGGAACCAACTCTTCAGACCTCAATTTAGGCTTAGGATCAAGACTTCCATCTGTTACACTTTAGGTCTCTGCCACTCAAAAGAGGCCAACTGTAAAAACCCCAGGGTCAGATCCCCTCTGAAGTTCCTTTACAACTCCACATCCCTGACTCCACCCTTTACTCTCTCAGTTTCAAGGCTCGAACACAGACTACAGCTAACTCAGAACTGGCTGCGCTCAGGGGCTAGTATGGGGCAGGAGCCCCAAGAGGATGCCTCCACGACTGCCCTGGACCCTGTTACTCTTACCAGGAGGTAGTGCCGGTGATGTTCTTCTGCTGCCGCATGCTGGGCGGCCTCTTCTGCCTGTAGCAGCATGACTGCCAGGAATTCTGTTAAGGTCTCCAGTCTAACAAGGCTCCTGGCCCAACACAGTTTGTATACTTCCTATGAGCCAGGCACCTAAAGGGCACGGCCGTAAGCATAGCAGGCCTGTCTCCTCCTGGTGATCCAGGGAAGCACAGGGGAGCTCAATCAAAGAGCCAATCAGGCCTCTATCCTCTTGATGCCCATTTGAGGCAGAGACTGAGATAACCTGCCACAGAGGCATTTGGAGACATCACCTAGCACATAGAACTTGGTCATTTGGCATCACGGTCCAGTCAGACAATTGAGCTGGGAGCTTCAGTTATTTTCAGATCAGATCTTTTCTCATCTCACAATCCTTGTGTCCTCGGCTAACAACCCATCTGCTCTGCTCTCACCGCCTGCTTCTCTTCTGTCCAATTATCTGACTTGTCCCTCACATGACTCCTCACACAGCTGGTCTCTTTGAGCAAGCCTCTCTCCTCTAATCTAGGACCATCTTCTCTTTTAAAAATTTCAAATTGCATTCATCTGTGTTTGTGTGCATGCCTGTGCCACGGTGAAGGTCAAAGGAAAACTTGTAGGATTTCCTTCTACCAAGTGGGTTCCAGGTCATGAGGTTTGGCAGCAAGCTATCTTCACTGGCCCTAGAAACATCTTTTTTAAAGCACAACTTTAAGAGCACTGATTCTTTTTTTTTTTTTTTTTTCTTTTTTTGGTTTTTTGAGACAGGGTTTCTCTGTGTAGCTTTGGAGCCTGTCCTGGCACTCGCTCTGGGAGACCAGGCTGGCCTCAAACTCACAGAGATTCACCTGCCTCTGCCTCCGGAGTGCTGGGATTAAAGGCGTGTGCCACCAACGCCTGGCTGCACTGATTCTTATGAAAACTCATAAAGCTCTTGAGTGCTATCAGGATAAGAAGCAAATGCAGAGTGTGGCACTATGGGAGGTCCCCAGGCCACACTGATGCTCCCAGGAGCCACGTTCACCACATATGTTTGCTTTGTGTTTTCTGAGACAGGGTCTCACTATATAGCCCTGGCTGGCCTGGAACTCAGAGATCAGTCTGCCTCTGCCTGTCTCTGCCCCAAGTGCTGAGATTCAAGTTGTGTATCATCACAGCTCACCAGTAAACCTGCATAAATACTCAGTCTTTCCAGGAGAATTTTCAGTCACCTAGGACTTACATTCAGCTCAGGTGTTTCTCTCTTACCTGGACCTCCTGGGATATCAGAAACCTTTTACTTTATTATTATTTTTGTTTGTTTGAAGAAGACAGGATTTCTCTGTGTAACCCTGGCTATCTTGGAACTTATTATGTAGACTAGGCTGGCCTCCACTCAGACCCACCTACCTTTGCCTCTGGAGTGCTGGGATTAAAGGCATGAGATACCACCACTGGGAACATTTTACTTTAAAAACCAAAACCACAAAAGTCTGAGATAGGGACTGGATGTGTAGTCAGGCTGGTTTTGCATTGTAGATCCCTCTGCCTCACTGTTCCTGAGTGCTGGGCACACAGGCATGGTTCTGGTACAGGCCTTCTGTAGCTCTATCACACCACAGTCAAGACCTGTTTTCCTATCTGCTTTTTCATTGGACAAAGAGTGCTGTAAGTCTTTGGTCCCCCTTGTGTGATGGTTGGTGTTTCTATAAGTTTGACACAGCCAGAATCACTTGGGAAAAGGGATTCGAACTGAGAAAATGCCTCCATCAGACTGGCCTGTAGGCAAGTCTATGGGACATTTTCCTAATTAATAACCAAGGTGGTAGGGTCCAGCCCTCTGTGAGTGGTGCCAGCGCTGGGCAGGTGGGTCCTGGACTGTTCAAGAAGCAGGCCTTGAAGAGCAAACCAGTGAGCATCGTTCTTCTGCTTCAGTCCCTGCATTCAGTTCCTACCCCACCTTCGGTCAGGTGAGACAAACCCTCTCCTCCCCCAGCTGCTGCTGGTCATGATGTTTATCCCAGCCACAGAAACCTACCTAAGACACAGACACAATATCTCAGGCTGGAGTTGAACATGAATCCAGACTTGAATGGACAAATGTAAGGATGGGCATCTGAGGTACCCAGATCCTCACACTGTGGGGGCTGAGGAGGGGGTGGCAGGCCAGTGCAAAGGATACAGTGCTTCCAGTGTGCAAAGGCCCTCCGCAGAGCCATCTTCTTGGCCAGCTTCTCCACCAAGGCCTGGTGGGCAGACAGGCTTTGCCTCCACTCCCAGGCCCACTGCCAGTCACAGAAATGTATCTGGAGCACAGTGACACGGTGGAATTGTGCAGCCATTTCTGAAATAGAGAAATAACCCTTAGGTGCTGTTCCCCGTGAGGAAGGAGAGGATACAAAAGCTGGACACTACTACTGGCAGAGAGCAGGGATTCAAGAGCACTGCCCAGGAAGAACCCTTATTAAAGGTTTTAGGTTGACAAAGTAGCTCAGTGAGAAAGTGTGTGCTTAGACCACGTGAGGCTCCTTCAGTTCAACCCCAAACACCACAACACAAAAAAGTTTTCTAGACACTAGGTTATTGAACCTCTAGAATTACTTCTCTCTCCAAGAAAAAAGGTCTGTGGTTTTAGGGAAGTGTGATGGCTAACCCTGGTTGGCAACTTCACACATTTGGGAAAAGGGAACAAGTTAACTGTCTCCATCAAATTGGACTGTGGAATGTCTGTGAGGGCATTGGTTTTTGTTGTTGCTTTTGTTTTAATTAGTAACTGATTGATATAAGAGTGCCCAGTCCATTGTGAGCAGTGCCATCTCTGAGCAGATGGGCCTGGGCCATATAAGAAAGGTAACTAAGACAGCAGAAAGGAGATAAGCCAGTAAGCAGCACGCTTCTATGGTTACTGATTTAGTTACAGCCTCCAGGTTCCTGCCTTGACTTCCCTTAATAGATTATAAACTATAAGCCAAATAAACACTTTCCCCAAGTTGGTTTGGTCAGTTTTATCAGAGCAACAGAAACCATCCAATAAAGGAGGAATATGCAATAAAATATTTTCTCCCCAAGGGCTGAGGCTTTTACTTAGCAATATGAGGAGTGATAACTGACACTTTTCAAAGATATGGTTTGGCTAGGCGTTAGTGGTGCACACCTTTAATCCTAGCACTCAGGGAAGGAGAGGCAGGCCAATCTCTGAGTTCGAGGTCAACCTGTCTACAGAGCAAGTTCCAGGACAGGCTCCAAAGCAATACAGAGAAACCGTATCTCGAAAAACAAAAACAAAAACAAAAAACAAAGATATGGTTTTATTTTTGCCTCTACTTGGGGGCTTCCTGGATAGGATCAGTCTGCAAGTACACAACATACCACTCCAGCAATCATGCTGGCAAAGGACTTCCTGAGCTTTCAGCCATGCTGACCCTGGTTGACAGGCACATGTCCTTCCAACACTAATCAGCTGACAGCCATCATAGAATATTATTTTAAGGTGTGTGGCTTTTGTTTATGCTTCATTTGTTTAATTTGGTGAATTTGTGATTCTTTGCCTATGTAAAACACATGATGGTCTAATAAAGAGCTGAACGGCCCATAGCAAGGCAGGAGCAAGGATAGGCAGGGCTGGCAGGCAGAGAGGATAAATATGAGGAGAGATCTGGAAGGAAAAAGATCTGGGAGCAAGAGAACAAGAAGAGGAGGACCAGCCAGCCACAGAGTAAGAGTGAAAGAAAGATATACCACATTAAGAAAAGGAAAAAGCCCAGAGGCAAAAGGTAGTTGGGATAATTTTAAAAAAATTTAAAGAAAAGCTGGCAAGAAACAAGCCAAGCTAGGACTGGCTTATTATAAGAAAAAGTAAGACTGGGCTGGAGAGATAGCTCAGAAGATAAGAGCGCCGACTGCTCTTCCAGAGGTCCTGAGTTCAATTCCCAGCAATCACATGGTGGCTCACAGCCATTCCTGGTACCCTCTTCTGGTGTGCAGATATACATGGAAGCATAATGTTGTATACATAATAAATAAATGAAATCTTAAAAAAAAAGAACAAGTAAGACTGCATATGTGATTTATTTGGTAGCTGGGTGGAGGGTCCCACAGAGTCCAAAAAGCCAAACAGTAAAACATCGAACAACAGATAGCTGGTAAACTGAGACCTCCAAAGTAGGATGTAGCTTGAGGCATGAGATTAAAGCTCATCATGCTAATGATCTTAAAAGCCTTTGCTTTCCACTATGCTCCTACAGATACAGGGAACTCTGCCAGACCGATGTTGGTAGCCTAAGAGATAAGTGGGATTCACTTGGACAAGAGCCTGAGAGCCTAACCTAGGGTCTGGTCCAGTGTTTGATTCACTTTTGTGTAAACTCAGCAAGCTGGTTTACAAAAAGCATCAGTGATCATGCTGCTAGGGTGACCTGGACCAGCAGGCTGTTCTCAGTGACAGGGGAGTTCTAAGGGGAGGAGGCCAGCAGATGAGAAGATAAAAAGAGAGAAAAGCTGTGGTCAGGGGGTCTTGCATAAACAATGTCAATGCCAAGCATATTCCTGGTCTTAGAGGAGGGAAACCCTTGGGTTCATCTAGTCCTCAACACTAGGGGTTATTAACTCGACAACTATTTGAGAAACTAAACCACAATGATGGCATCTGTGAGAATCCCACAATGCTAAACTTTTCACAGAATTTGTGATGTTACTTTTATTCTTTTCACTTCAACAACATCAAGAGTTCCATTATCACAAATTATATGCATTTGCATAAGGGAGGACAAATTCAAATAATCCAAGTATGTATTGAGGGCTGGGCTGATTCAAGGCTTTCCCTGAGGCCATGATGTATGAAGAAAGAACATAGCTCCTAGTCTAAAATCAGAAACATGGTGGCAGGGCCAGTAATGGCCTGGGGTCAGGGCCTGTGGCAGCCGTGGCTTCAGATCCTGAGAACCCAATTCTTTCCACTATATGGAGCTGTGATCAGCATTAGAATATTAGTTAAAGATGTGTTACATTTGTTTATACTGTGGAATATTTTTTAATAATGCAAAGATGTGTTGCATTCCTTTATGCTGCATCTGTTTAACTCTGTGAAGCTGTATTACTTTGCCATTCTAAAACACCTGATTGGTCTAATAAAGTGCTGAAAGGTCAAATACAAGGCAGGAGAAAGGACAGGCAGGCAGAGAGAATAAATAGGAGAAGAAATATGGGAAGAAAAGATCAGGAAGAGGAGAGGAAGGCTCCAGAGTTCAGCCACCCAGCCAGGACAGGCTACAGACATGACACATAGACCTCTAACACAGCACATGACACAAAGAAACTCCAGATCCCCGTTAGCCTCCTAGATACTTGGTCCCTGGGAACTGTTTAGCCATAAAAGAAAATATAGGGGAGACAAAAAAACTCCCCTGTAGTCTCCAGGATACAGTTCTGAAAACGATTGGTATCTACCTGCAAGTAACAAGACAAAGCCATAGAAACCACAGAATGTTCCCTCTCAGTACTGGCCAACGAGAATACCCGGTACACAGGTATTTCATGCCAAAATGTGACTTTGAGAAATTCTCCTAATTGTTCCCAAATGTCAACCAATCAGAAATCAACCCATACCTACTGATATAATCCTGTGAGTTTTGTCTTTAAAACCCAGAAGCAGACAGAGAACTCCACTTCCTCTGGTGGCCACTGCATCAGCTAGACAGTCGGGTCCCTGTCGTGGTTGGATGAACAGTAAACCCTGCTTTCACAGTCTGGTGGGTCTCTCTCCCTGGTGGTCTCTGGGGATCTTTGTAACTTGGGCACAACACTCTTGAGATACCCTGGGCTTCCCTTGTGCAACATTGCTTGATTAGCTTCCCACTTAGTCCCATTATATGACAGTTTCTGCTGACCTTGTCTCATTTTCCCCATGGAAATAGTATGTCAGATACTGTACTTCTTCATAAGCTTGCTTGGCATAAGACATAGCTTTTGCAAGACTTCCTGACCCCACCTGTTTTATCTTCTCATTTCCTGGCCACCTCTCACTTAGGACCCTGTCAATGAAGAAAGGCCTGCTGGTCCAGGGCAAGATCTATTCACAGGAAATGGCTAAGTGAAGGTAGCATGTGACAGGTGGGCATGGTGGCGCACACCTTCAATCCCAGCACTCAGAAAGCAGAGGCAGATGAATCTCTGTGAGCTCAAGGCCAGTGAGAACCCCTACAGTGAGACCCCACCAGGGCTACACAGCAATATCCTGTCTCAAAAAATCAAACCAGGGGCCGGAGAGATGGCTCAGTGGTTAAGAGCACTGACTGTTCTTCCA